TTTTTTTTTTTTTTTAATATAATTCAGTATTCTATTTCAATTTCTTATTGCAACTTTCATTTTAATTTATGAATATTGTCTCAACACCTTTTTTTTCGGGCACGTTAAAAAAATTTTATTTTTAATACTGTGTCACGTACATAGAATCCTACGCAACAACTGACTATTAAATAATTTATTACGTTAATAGTTATAGCTGGCAAGGCTAATTTATAATTTTAAAGGGAATAATTTATATGATAGTAACATTGATCACTAACTAAATACTTGGTAAATCATATAAATCTTTATGTGCGTATTCGCATGCTTGCATGTGTGTGATCTCAGACTTTTTGACCGATGTCAATGATTCAGGACTCAGAAGGATTACTTTTTCATATTGTAACGATGGCTTGGGAAAAACAATCGTCATAGCTTTTTAAGATTGTCATACCTCTTGACGATTTCTTGAGTTTTAAAGGCAGATTGTTGTATTACTCAGGTGAAAAAAATATTCTTACACATATTTTAGTCTTACTTAGGGAGAATTCAAACAATTACATTTTTTTAAATCTCTCCATACGTAATACAGTTTCATTTTGAACAGTAAAACAATTTTTTTTCTTTTGATTCATGCATTTAAGATTAGTATTTCAATAAAATTGATAGAACGATTCCCTAATTTGTAATTTTAATTAAATTCTTAACAAAATCTTATTACATACCGTACGATTCATGCATTTAAGATTAGTATTTTAATAAGATTGATAGAACGATTCCCTAATTTGTAATTTTAATTAAATTCTTAACAAAATCTTATTACATACCGTACGAAAAACAACATTTTCTATTTTCGCACACTCCAAAAGAGTTTTTTTTATAGGATAATTTTACTTTAATGTGATAAATATTATAATTTCATTGACAGGTTTTACAAATCTGAGCTTGTAATGTATATATGCACATATTAATACTTACTGTAGCTAAAAAACATAAATGTAGTTTGATTTGTTCTTAAATATCTTATACGATTGTTTCATTGCAAAAACTTTAGATTGCAATAAATGACTAAAACTTTGAATTTGCTACTCAACATAATTTAATATTAATTAAATAATGTACATGATACGGAGTGTGTACGATCTACTATATTAATACAAATTATTGCTTCATTAAGGTGATTGTACGCCAGAAAGCACTCCGCTTTTACTCTGTATCTCTCAATAGCTTCCAATGACTTCTTAATCGAAATTTAAAATTTTCATATTCAAATTTCTATATTCAAAAAAAAGAATCTATCAGATTTCTATTCAGATTTATTAAAAATCCACTCAGTTTTCTGACACTCTAAAAAGCTATCGTTAAATGTTTCAGTATTTTATTTGCAGGTAGAAATTTATTCAACAATATAGAATTATGTTGAGTAGCAAATTAAAAGTCTTAGTCATTTATTGCAATCTAAAGTTTTTGCAATAAAACAATCGTATAAGATATTTAAGAACAAACCAAACTACATTTATTTTTTTTAGCTACAGTAAGTATTAACATGTACATACATACATTACAAGCTCAGATGTGTAAAACCTGTCAATGAAATCATAATATTTATCACATTAAAGTAAAATTATCCTATAAAAAAAACTCTTATGGAGTGTGCGAAAATAGAAAATGTGGTTTTTTCGTACTGTATGAAATAAGATCTTGTTAAGAATTTAATTAAAATTACAAATAAGGGAATTGTTCTATCAATCTTATTGAAATACTAATCTTGAATGCATGAATCGAAAGAAAAAAAATTGTTTCATTGTTCAAAATAAAACTGTATAACGTATGGAGAGATATAAAAAAATGTAATTGTTTCAGTTTTCCCTAAGTAAAACTTAAATATGTGTAAGAATATTTTTTCACATGAATAATAAAACGATCTGCTTTAAAAAATCAAGAAATCGTCAAGAGGTATGACAATCTTAAGAAGCTATGACGATTGTTTTTCCCGAGCCATCGTAACAATGTGAAAAAGTAATTCTTCTGAGTCCTGAATCATTGACATCGGTCAAAAAGTCTGAGATCACACACATGCAAGCATACAAATACGCACATAAAGATTTATATGATCTACCAAGTATTTAGTTAGTTATCAATGTTACTATCATTCAAATTATTACCTTCAAAATTATGAATTA